CAAGGTGATTTCCTTAGGAGATCACTCCTCGAGTTAGTGGAGCGATGTTAGATGACGCAGGTGCATGATAGTTGGTGGCCAACAATCATCTCATAGCCCAATTTTTTTCCCGTCGGGATTCTGAAGTCCATGAGCATCAATTCTTTGGAACCAGGGTTTTTTTTACTTCCCTTGAATGAATCCTTCGCACTCACGAACGTAGTTTTTCTTCCCCTTAATTTCATATACAACAATTCACCTATAGGAAGGCGATTAATGGGACTCTCCCCCCACTAGGGGCTATGTGAAAGTGTTCAGAGATAAGAAACGATTTCTCCATGCTACCGACTGTAATGGATTGTTTGTAACCTATGAATTTAATCACTTTTCACCTTTATGATCTAATTGAAAATTCATGCATATTTAAGCGCGAATCAAAACATTTGCATTGAAAAGGACGAATGGAGTCAACAGTAGTATAGTTAAGTGTCCTAATTAATAGCTTAATTTACTGAAATTTAACTCTTATTTACACCTACATTTCATAATTCACATGACTTATGTATTTTAATTAGTTCAAAAATTCAAGTATTTTCAAGGAATTTTTAAAAAAAAGAGTTTAAACTAATCAATACATGTTTTGTGTGTAGATTCACTTGGTGGCTTTTTTTGTGTGGAAAATACTTAGGAAGTTATAGAAGGTTATTGATCACGTTAAGTGATTATTAGAGATATATAGTTAGGGTTTTCCTCAGAAGAAAAAAGTATAAAATACACTTTTCTGTATTAATTAACAACATATTTGAATAATTGCCTGATTTCATCATGTTCTCCTGACGAAAAATCGGAGATAGAATCTTGTGGAGGTGTTCCGTTCTCCGAGTTGAAGGATTTGCTTGTCGAGCTTGCAATGTTCTTTTTCTGAACAACAAAATCAGCACAAACTTCAAATAGAAGTGAAATATTCAAATATCTTCACGTTTGACCGTGTAGCTTGCTCTTTTAACCTTGATCTTGATTGGTTTTTGTTGTTGACCTTGATCCTGTCGTTGTTCGTGCCTTCGTTTCTGATTGTATCCTCTTTTAGATCATTTTATTGATCCTATGATATTTTCTGATTGATTGATAAATTCGGTCAATGTCCATGTGTTTGTTGATTGCTGATTGATTATTCAGTTAGAAATAAGCGTATCAGATTGAGAGAAGACCATTGATAATCACAACACTACGTGCATCACAACAGAATGCTCATCAATCGAATCGCTAAAAGAAACTTAATAAATTAATACAACTTAAATCACATAAATATTGATTCAAAGATGCACCTAAATATATATTTAAGGGATCACTCCCGGAGCATTGAACGCACAAATACAATCTATACGGCAACCAGGAAACTCGAACCTATGTCTATAGGCAATGCCAGCGAAGTCCTACTCTATATGCCCTATCGCGCAGACGGGTCGTTTAACAAAAGTGAGGAAAAGAAAAGCTAATGTCTGGCCAGGGCTTAGTCTGGGTCGGTGAGCATGGAGTATCAATCTTGGAGAGCTCCGATTCCGAGCCAATGGTGTACACAGGCTCTAGGATGCTGGTTTCTTCCACTAATTGCTAGTAGACGGATCTCAGCGAAGTACATGCTTTCTGAGTGATCCTGACCTACTGTGAATCATATGATTGTTTTGATTGTGAGGTTCTACATATGTTTCAACATATTCACTAGTATAAAGCCACTGCTAGGAGATTTCTACTCAGTAGAGGTGCTGTTTACGAAAAGAACATGTATGGTCAGGGTTAAAACCCGCTGCGAGAAATCCACTTACGTAAAACCCTCATCCTAAAAAATTGGTTGGCATAGACTTCAAGACCGGCGGAATGAACAACACCATCGTAATTTGAAAGAGTGTGGCTGACTAAGAAAATCACCACTTCTATTCGGACAATTAGGTAGCATCCCAGTTCAATAATTCATGTGTCACATCAGCATTAGGGTGTCCTTCTCCACCAGTCAGTCAGCTACAATGTACAACTTCGAACGTATGTACATCAGTTCAGGTTGACATACCACATTAGCACACAGAGATCAAATTGTCGATTCAAAACCCATAGTAATAAATGTAAATTATCGGTGATTAAAAAGACCCATAAGGTCACTGACAACTAGACCGAGCCATGTTGGTAGGTGCCGACTACCTTAGTGGGGCCCGCGAGGCTCTGGATGATACGGCTCAAAACCGTTTGCAATGGTGCAAGTGCACTCATTCTTTGTGTTCTCTCAAATCCTAAACTTTTTAATTCCGCATCACATTTTCAAGTTTATTTCATTAGATTCTACTTCTTGAATAATATCCTCGAACCTTAATCTCCATGATTACTGTTCATACTTCTACTACCTCTACTACTATGGGATTTGAAGTGACAGTTGTGTCTGTGTTAACGTGGTATTGCAACTTGAACTAATGTACGTTCTACGTTGTAACTGACTGACTGAGAAGTTTCATTCCAATTGTCAATAACATCATGGATTTGTGCTGTTTTGATTTGATGGTCCCCCAACTTTCTTTCAACCTAACTACTTTACACCAGTCATCATCGCTCACTATGACACTCGGTGTTTGTGCATACCTAATTTTAACCACCTCCTCAATTGATGAACATTACGCACTTCATCATATTTATCTATTAGTATCTGTTATGGGGACATAGATGGAATTAAAGCATGACTACGTTGCTGCGCGCTGATTGGCTAATCTCCTATCCAATCAGCGCCTGATCGAAACTTGGAGAACAGGGTAGAAGATTCTCGTACTGTTAGCTGCGTGCTGATTGGTTAAATCTAATCCAGTCGATCACGTGAATTACTGCTATCCAGAAGCTATTTGGAATACAATCTTTTACTGTTCAACCGTGTTTTGGATTCTTGGGAACTTGTCCAGTGTATTATGGTCAGAGAATATTAAGCAATAGGATTTAGCTGGGAATTATCTAAGCAAGCATTAACAACACCATCATTATTCAATACTGTTTTCCTTAACATCCATACTGCTTAACTCGACGGTTTAAATATATATATATTGAAACTACTTTTTCCGGCTATAATAATTTAAAAAATTTATATGTAACAATTAAAACAATAATAACAATTGATATAATTTTAATAATTTATCACAATTTTTCTTATCCTCATTCACTGCTAGCAATACTACTACTTATAATAGTGATAATAGTAGTAATAATAATAACAATAATAGTAATAATAATAATAATAACAGTGTCAAGTATTTTGTGAACATTGTTGTTGTTGCTTGTTGTTTTATCCATAAAGTGCAGAAACAATCGGGAGAGAGAGAGAGAGAAAAGCGAGAGAAAGCATACACAAAATAGGAAGAGACAAAAACAGAGAGATAGAGAGAAGCACATTGACGCCCAACAGAGACAGAAAAAAATCCAATGGAAATAATATACGTTTACCAGATGATAAGATGAAATGAGACAAGAATGACAATAGTCATGATGATGATGATGATGACATTAGTAGTGGTAGTAGTTAGTTAAGGCAGTTGATTGGTTGGTTAGTTAGTTAGTTAGTTAAACTAACACAATTCCGTAAGCGCATATACTAAACATTATGTATATATGTTTGCGTGTGTACACCGTACAACAACAACAACGAGTACACACTTAGCGTAGATGGGATAGAAGGTCTGAACGAACAAAACAGCAACAAGCAAGAAAAGGAACAAATTGAAACAAACTATGAGTTGATACATCTACTTACATACATACTTACTTACTTACTGACCAATTACAAACCACACTACTACTAACAGAACTACTCACAATGATTATTACCAACACCATTCAACCATTGGAGGAAAAAAAACCCAGAATGATTGATCGTCAAAGAGATCATGAGGATTCACAGCATCTTTATATGTGTGTATGGCGCATAAGTTGACATTGGTTATTCGATTGCTTCATTTTCTGTGCAAAAAATAACAATAATAACAATGTCATCCTAATCACGACTAATACTACTGCTACTACTACTACTTATTAGCAGTAGTAATACACACTAGTAGTAGTGATACACCGAATTTCATTTGAATAAGACACTATTTCTGAAGAGTACTCGAGTAAAACTCGAGCAAACAAAAAACCATGAAGCAAAGATGATAAACTTTGATACACATGAGGGAAAACAGAGAAAAAGAAAACATGGACAACCGAACCAATGAAATTAACCGAAATCAATAGCAATTCAGCGAATAAGTTGGCTGTTATTGTTTACACAAGACAAGTCACCACTATACACTAATAGTAATCAGCTGATCGGATTGTTGTTCAGTTAATCAGTCAGACAGTCAGTCAGTCAGTCATGGATGTAATTTGGCCATGAATGACAAAATCAAACTGAACTTAATTAAACGAACAAACAAATAAAAAAACCAAACACATTAAACGAGGAAAAACACCGGGGGAGGGGGATGAATAGTACATACATAGTAGTTAAGGCTCAGTGTGTGTGTGTGTGTGTGTATGAGATAGACAAAGAGATATAGAGAGAGAGAGAACAGTGCAGTGATTTTAGAACAATAGTTATAACTGTTGAAACCGACAAATATTAGTGCAGTTATAAATGTAGTTTCATGTAAATACCATTGTGTAATCGATTGACAGATGATATATATGTATGTCTGTATATGTTTATATAGCGAGATGTATGTGTTGTATGTTCTCCAGTTTCCAATTTTTTTTACGTGTCAATGAATTGAATTGAACTCCTATTATATTCTGTTCATACATGTATATATATGTATAGATATATAGATAGAGATGTGCAAATGTAAGTAAATGTAAGCATTGCGTGTCTACTTTGTGTATGACAAAACAATGAGTAAGGCAAAACACATACACACTTACAATAATCAGATGAATATCAGCAACAACACACATAAATATGTATATATATATGATGTACTTGTCTGTGTAAGCATGTGCGTGTGTGTGTATATGTGTAATTATGGTGTACCGAGTAGATCAGGTCGTACAACTGGTTGTTGTGCATTGATCATGGTTGTTCCACCACCAACATGAGGACTATTCATTGGTGCATGTCCAGCACGTATTGGTTTAGCGATTTGTGATTGACCACGACGTGCTGTAATATTACGTTGACGTACAACTTCTTTAATTCGTTCCACTTCAACTTGATAACGTTTACGATCACGCATAGCACCTTCTTTAGCTTCTTTTAATGATAATTCTAAACTACGTACACGTTCTAATGTACTCTATTTAAATAGAAGAAAATGTATACACATGTATATATATACAAACAAGAAAAAAATAAGTTAATCACTAAGTATTCTGATTCAAACTACTTATTTAGTTCGAATCCCGTTGGATAGTCAGTCAGTCAGTCAGTCAGTTGCAACGTAGAACTTTGTACGTAAGTACATCAGTTCATGTCGCCATACCACATCAACACAGAGAAGTATTCGTCAATTCAAATCTAATAGTAGAAGAGTTAGTAAGGGTATTAAAAGTTAACGAAGAGGTTAGGATGAGAAGATATTATTCAAGAAGTATGATTCATTGAGGTAAGTTTAGAAAGTCAAAACTAGAGGTGTTGAAGAATCCAAAGATTAGGATTTGAGGGAACACAAAGAATAAATGCACCGGCGCCATTGCAAACGGTTTTGAGCCATGTCATTCAGGGTCTCAAACCATTGGTTAATATCATCTCGCATAATCCAACCAGGTAGTCGACAATTACCGACATGACTCAGTCCACTTGTCAATGACTTCATGGATTTATGCCATGTTTTGATTTAGCCGCCCCTAACTTTCTTCCAACCTACTCCCACACTACAAAACAAAGCTCTTCGAGGCAGTCGGTGGTTAGGCATACGCAACACATGTCCCAACCACCTCAACTGATGAAGTGTTACTACTGCATCTATTGATCTGCCATTCTTACCTAGTACCCGTTTTCTAATAACAGCGTTGCTCACTCGAGTGTCCCAGGATATACGAGCAATGCTTCGAAGACACCTATGATCGAAAACCAATAAACGACGCCGTTGGATAGTAGAAGATTAACAGATTATTATAATAATAAATTTTATAGTTAATTTTATTTAGTTAAGCAACTGTAACACTGAACTCTGCCTGGAGCACCTCTCGATTACTCTACCTGTTCCAAGCCAAGATGGTTAGTTAGCGATATGGGAGGTTGATGATCGAATCCCGTAGAGACCTGGAAGCATAGTATGATTTACGGATTCCATATACTGTTATTGTTCTTGTTGCCGCGATTACAATCAGTCATCAAATTATCCATGTGACACTGACTGTTTCATTTAAATTTATCAACGATTCGCATCATCAGAAATCTGCACTCATGATTGTCAGTACAAAAACACTGCGACTAATGAATTGACACTGTGAATAGTACACATTTTTTAACATTAACGTTTTTCAATTGCTTTCAAAATTAGTAAGAAAACTTTACCGAGTGTGTCTGAATACGGCTGAGAGTGGAGATAGATCGCTCTCTCTCTCTCTCTCTAAATGCTAATGCGTATTATAACCGATGTCACAGAAGTCCTACTCATTGTCTGTTCGTATCAATGTTATTATTCACGGAAAATGAGCGAACAGAAAATACCAATATTCGATATATGACACTTTGTGTTACACTTTTAAAAACCTGAAAGTACTGTGGTGCGAGCTACTTATAAGTAGTATATGACGTGAGTGTAAACGTAATGTCTGGCAGCAGAAGATGGGGCAAGATCAAGAAAGGAAGAGTTACAAAACAATGGAATTTGTATGAAATGCATGAATAGTGACAATGGATTGGTGTTTTGCAACAGGAACAGTCCAGTTCGATATGATGAACTGATATTTTGCAAATGAACGATTTACGCTATGGTGTTCCAATTTTAGTAACTCTGTAATTCTCGTTAAATACAATCCGGTTGCCTCGCCTGTGTTCTCCTTCACTACAGCACTACTGGCATATCCCTTCGTCTTTGTATAAAACTCATCAGCAATAGGCTTTAGCGGGATTCGTCGTTTCACAACTGGACGCTCAACCTTTCATTATTCACCACCATCGAACATTTAACAATGTGAATATTATGGTGGAGAATTTGATTCTCTGAGCTAAATGTTGTTTTAATTGCGCAGCTTTCATTATTGTTCTTCTTCTGAACAATATCATCAACATCAGCAGTACAAATTACAGAGAGAAGAAGTGAAATATTCGAAGTATTCTCCGTTTTGTTAACCACAATAAATTGATTGGTTGTTGTTGACCTTAATATGAATGTCATATATATATATATATATATTGAGCATCAATCATTCAAATGACGATGTAAGGCCAACATCCAGTGTGCCATCCCAGTTTTCATCAATCCACTTCGCCTACACACACACACGCACACACACAATAAAAAAAACCAAATAAACTTTATTAAACTAACTTTTAATCGTTTCTCCATTTTTGGTAATTCACAACGTAATTCTGCATTATCATGTACTAGCTGTTTATGTACTTTAGTTAATTTATCTAAATTATTTTCAAGAAATATAATTTTTTCACGTTGTGCCAATGTACCAATTTGTATAGATTCATCATCGTCATCATCATCAGCAGCAGGATTATTGTCAACAACTACACCACCAGCAGTAGTAGTAGTAACATTATTTCCAACAGCAGCCGCAGCCGCAGCAGTAGTGGTATCATCAATAAGTAGACTATCAGTAATTTGTTGTTGTTGACCGCATTGATTACTATTGTTATTATTATTATTATTGTTATTATTGGCTGTGATTTTTTCCGCTGCACTTAATGCATTCACACGATTAGCCGACTAAAAGAAAAAAAAGGGAGGAAAAACAACAAGATTCAAATCATATAAGCAAAACATACATTAAACGATGTATGATGAACAGTATTAGATAGAGAATTGGAAAAGAAAGTTCAAAACAGAGTGTAACGGTTGAAGTATACTACTAACCGACGACCTACATTGCACCAATGGTGATAAGCTTAAATAGTCAGTCAGTCAGTCAATCAGTTACAACGTAGAACTTCATACGTACATACATCAATTTTAGGTTGTTATAACACATTATTAGCACAGAGATGTAATTGTTAGTTTAAATCCCATAGTAGTAGAGATAGTAGAAGTATTACTGGTAATCGAGAATATTAAGATATGAAGATATTATTCAAGAAGTATAACTTAGTGAGATAAATTTAGAAGGAGGAAAGGTAGAGGTAATAGCGAATTCAAACGATTAGAATTTAGGAGAACACAAAGAGTTGATGCATCTGCGCCATTGTAAACTTAGAAGCACTAGATGGCACTGTTTTGTCCTAGTACGGGACTGGCGCTCGAGGGAAATGAACCCGGGACCCTTGATCTCACGCACAAACACCAAACATCTAAACCAGCTGGTAGGGTTGAACTTCACTGGTTACGGCTAAGTGAAGTTGCACAAAACCTTAGAATGATCAGAGCTAGACATGATCTACGGCTTAAGCGTTTGTGCGCAAAATCGAAAGTCCTAAGTTGAGATTCTCCTAAGTGGGGATCATGGATGTGAGTCCCATACTATGGGACGAAACAGCCGTCCAGTGTACTTCTACGTTTCTTTCGAATCGCGCTCTAACAATGATCGATTCATGATTTCAATGAAAACAACAATCTACGTAACTCTATGACACATTCAAGCTATTGCCTTTCTTTACAAGCTGACATTTTCGAATTGATTAGAACATAAAATCCTTGCCATTTTAAAACATCGTTATAACCACCACCACAGAAATCAAAGATCCAATTCATGTAACATGACATAGCACTATCAACAATAATAATCAGTCCGTAACAACGTAGAACTTCGTACGTACATACGTACATCAGTTCAAGTTGCTATACTACATTAACACAGAAATATAATTGTCGATTAAAATCCCATAGTAGTATAATGTTAGTAGTAATCAAAAAGATCACAGTTTGAAGATATCGTTCGAGAAGTATACGCCAGAGAAATTAACTAAAACAGCGAAAAACAAAGGCGATGACGAATTCAGAAGAATAGAATTTGACGGGAGACCTGTCATCCAAAGTCTCCAACCATTGTTTACTTATAGTCTCGTGTACATTTTTACTAGCCTGGTTCAGTTCGGTTTTGTCAATGAGTTCACAGATTTGTGCCATGTTTTGATCTGGACATCGTTTAGCTTTCTTCCAATCAATCTACCTCTATGTTGTAACGCTGCTACGTATGGCTACTCAGTCCTAGCGGCGTCCAATTCAAATATCCCAATACGACCCAAAATGCTATTTCCAAATCTTCTCGATATCAGAACGCAACACCGTGGGATGGAGTTGTTTATTGGGTCGAATACAGAAGAGAGGTAGGCAGGAGAAACGGAATTATTCAGTCCTACCGATAGTGCGTATTTATACACTAAGGTCGAATAAGAAAGAGCATCAACGTCTGTGACATTGACAGTTTAGGCCGACCAATAGAAAAGAACACTTGAAATGACATTGACAGTTCAGATGACCAATAAGAGCCAACATTGAAGTATTTGACCTTGACGGTTAGAACGATCATAATTTCGGCCAATAGAAATCGACCAATAGGATTGTACTTCTAAAAAATTGTATTCTTAGGATATTTGGTGATGAATATCCTAACACTCTACACCACAAAACATACTCGTAACAAATAACAATAATAATAATTATTAAAATAATAATAACACACAAATATCAAGATTACACACCTTTTTGATTCGACAATTCAAATCTTGTATGAATAAACGTCGTAAATTATGTAAAGTTTGTAATTCTTTAATTACTGTCTCTTCTAAACCACGTAAATCTTGTTTGGCTTGTTCACGTTTCTCCGCTGTTTTTTCCAATGTTTCTAAACGTGTAGTTTTATCTTCTAATTCTGCACGTAAATGATTAATTTCTTCTTGAGATTTTTCTGATTGAAATTTGAAATCATTCGCTTCACTATTGAACAATACGAAAAAAAAGGGAGGTTTATACAATTAAATATGAGAAAAATGCATTGAGTTATTCTGAACATCATCTGCACAAACTTCAGATAGGAGAAGTGAAGTATTCGAATTTCTGTACACGTTTGACCTGTAGCTTGTTCTGCTAAACTCGATCTTGATTGGTTGCCACTGTTGACCTTAAACCTGTCGTTCTATCTGAAGTTTGTGCTAATGATGTTGTTCTGAAGAACAATGAAAGCTCCACAACCAAAACACCCAGCTCAAAGAACCAAACATCACCACCACAATGCATTGAGTTAGTTAGTTAGTAGTAGTTACAATGTACAACTTGATAAATAAACACATTGAGTTCAAATTGCCATTGTATATTAGTACATACAGATAGACTTGTCAGCATACATCGGATAGTAGTAGACGTAGTAGAAGTATTAGCGGTAATGGAGAAGATTAGGAATCGAATATATCAATCAAGTAGATATATAAGTTTTAAAAAGAAAACGCTTAAGTTTATGAGGAATTCAGAAGACTAGAATTTGAGAGAACACAAAGAGTGGTTGCACTTGCGTCATTGCAAACGATTTTGAGCCATGCAGTTCAACGTCTCTAACTATTAGTGAACTTCGTGTCACGCATGCCAACCAGGTAGCCTACATCTACCAACATGACTCAGTCCAGTTGTCAATGACTTCATGAATTTCTGACATATTATGGTCTGGCTGCCCCTAACTTCTAGATGTAGTAGAAGTATTAGCGGTAATGGAGAAGAATAGGATTTGAAGATATCAATCAAGGAGAATAATTCAGTGACATAAGTTTTAAAAAGAGAAATAAAACGGTTATGAAGAATTTAGAAGGTTAGAATTTTAGAGAACGCAAAGAATGGATGGATCTACGCTATTATAAACGATTTTCAGTCATGTCATTCAAGGTGTCTAACCAACCAGGTAGTCTACATCTACCAACATTACTCAGTTCTCTTGTCAGTGAATTCGTTGAATTCTGCCATGTTTTTGTCTGGCCGACCCTAACTTTCTTCCAGCCTACTACTACACCATAAAACATAGCTCGACGAGGCAGTCGGTGGCTGGGCATACGCAACACATGTCCAAACCACTTCAACTGATGAAGTTTCATTACTTTATCTATTGACCTGCGATCCTTACCTAGCACCCGCTTACTATCAACAGCATCACCTACTCAGTTGTCCCATGATACACAAGCAATGCTTCGGAGACATCTATGATCGAAAACCAATAACCTACGACTGGCCATGTTTCGCAGCCATAATGTAGGACAGAGCGAACTACTACGCAGTAAACTCGTCCTTTAGTCAGTACAGAAATGTCTCACCTACGCCATAAGTGACGCACATTGTCAAAAAAGCCAACCCAGCCTTCTGTATCCGTGCTCAGGTTTTATCAGTTACCAGGCCATCAGTACTAATGAGACTACCGAAATAAATGAAATAGTCAACACACACTCAACTACTATTTCACTATTGAAGTAATCATTTCAAATCGTCACATAGTACACTTTCCATACACACACAAAAGAAAAACACTTACTCTTTATATTCTTCTAATTTTTTCTGTTTTTCATCTAATTCATCACGTAAATGTTTCATTTGCATAGCATAATGTTCCGATTGACGTTTAAATTCTTCATCTAATTTCATACGTATAGCTGATTGTCCAGCAAGAATTTTTTCATTTTGTTCACCAGCTGAACCAGTAATAAATTGTTCATTAGCACGTAATTTAGCTACTTCAGCATTTAATTGATCAACAATTTCTTGTAATTGACGTTTACGTGATTCAGATTCATCAATTTTATCAGTCAATGTATTAATTTTTACTTCAAACTATATTCAAAAAATAAGACAGGAAAAGAAAGATGAAAACATCAACTTCGATTGGAGTAATTTAGTCAAGAGTTACTACTACTACAGTCAATCAGTCAGTTTAGAACAGGGTTTAAGGCGGCCAGGAATGACGTTTCGTGAACTCACATCGTTTGCATTAGCTGTGTGCACTGTGATAAAGGAATGTGAGAAGAATTAGTCGTGGAGATAAGAGAGGTATTAGGGGGGTGTAGGAAGAATTTGATTTTGAACAATTTGGTCTTGTGTGCTGTTACAGGTATGAGGGCGGTTATCACTTTCCGGCTGCCCAAACCGTGGAAAGTTGTTTCTTGAGGGACCTGATAAGGAAGACAGATTAGTGTTGGTCTTCGAGACCTGGGTGCGTGACCTCAAAGCCCAACTGCTTGAGGCCGGTCACACACGGCCTTTTTATAATTTTTTTGAGTGTTAGCTCCTTAGTGGTCACCCTTACTGCCGGAGACAGAAATCCGTGAGGTAGGGTGAGGTGTGACATCTTTTTAGGGTCGACCTTTTCTAACCCTTCCTTCCTTGTGACAAGACAGCATCGCTGCAGATGCTGGATGTCGCTTGTAAAGGCCTACATGCATCCATTCTGTCTACTCTCATAAGCTGAAGGCCTTGTTTTCTCTCTTTAAACTTATTTCACTCAATTATACTTCTTGAATCATATCTCCATCCCTAATCTCTTCCATTACCACCTATACTGCTACCACACCTATTACCACTGGATTTGGATTGACAATGGCATCTCTGTGCTAATATGATATGGCAACTTGAACTGATGCAATCATGTACGAAGTTCTACGTTGTAACTGACTGACTGCAAAGAAGAGTTTCAAATCGAAATAGTATTTTGACGACCAGAATAGATGTAAAAGTAGACAGTCAGTAATCTGTTTATATTTACCTATTGATGTTTCGACCTAGTATAGGACTCATCAGCAGTGCGCATTCACGACTCCTACTCCTCGCAGGATTCGAACCCGAGACCTTCGGTCCCACATGCGGACGCTTAACCTCTGGACCATTCAGCCGACATCCAACGGTGTTAACGTCTAACTCTGATCAATCTAAAGATTTTGTACAACCTCACCCATTTCTCTTCAGTATTTACTCCCTATACTCGCGACAGGATTGAACTCCACCAGTCATGTCTTCTCATTAGAACTTCGTGAATTTTCTCACAAAGCTAATAGTCACTAGTATTGTGGTGCGCGCTACTTATAAGTAGTATATGACGCGAGTGTAAACGTCATGTCTGGCAGCAGAAGATGAGTAAAGATCAAGAAAGTAAGAGTGGAAAAACAATGGAATTTGTATGAAATAGTGAATGAATAGTGAAATGTCAGACAATGGATTGATGATGGATTGAAGATTTGCAAATTAACCGTTTACGATATGGTTTTCCCTATTTTACTGAGTAACTCTGTAATTTTCGTTAAATACAATTCGGTTGCCCTCACCTGTGTTCTCCTTCACTACAGTATGAGCATTATCATAAGCAAATATTCAAAAGAAACCAACCAATCAATCAATCAATTCATTGATCACTTACCGAATGAAGTCGTGTACGTAAATCTTTGGATTCATCATCACTTTTACGCATTAATTGTACATGTTGAACACGTTCCTCTTCTAATTGACGTACACGTGATTGTAATGATTTTGCTTCAGTTTTCATTTTACTTATATATAAACGTACAACAGTAAATTCTTCATCTAAACGTTCAGCACCAACAGATGGTTTCTAATAAATGAAATAATAATAATAATAGTAATAATAATAATTATTATTATTAATTACATTTAAAAAAACTCCAAGAAAATTTATTAAGATGATTCTTTATCATATAAATTTGTTAAATGTTTCATTAGCATTTTCATGTTATATAGAATTGAAAATTGAACATCTCCTCATGCAACCAGAGAAAGAAAGGATTTTGTTATGGATATATTTGTGATTTATAAATTAGAAATAGTGTGATTCCTAAACGAAATCTATCTAAGGAGTTGAGTCTATTTTTTTTAGTTGCATCTCAATATAATGAACAATTGTCTGCGCAAAATACTTTGAATTTGCTGACAAGACACCAGCAGCAAACAAACTAGATATTCTAACAGAGAAAGAAATCAGAAGGAAACACTGGAGATAGGATACATATTGCAAAAAGCAACCAACTACGTCATAAGACAAGTCCTTACCTTGGACCATCAAGGTTAAAGGAAAAGAGGAAGTAAATGAGATATAATATTACGCCGAGAAATGAAGATAGACAGGTAAAGAATGAACAGCTATTGGATAGAATTGGAAAAGAAGGCTGGAATGGGAAGCCAACGACTGGTCGGTGGTTTATACTCCATTGGGGCTAAAAGGGATAAGTGGGTAAGTAAGCAATATTTCTACTACCCCTAACTACTAAGGGATACGAATTGACAATTGCATCTCTGTGCTAATGTGGCATGGCAACTTGAAATGTCCATTGGGGCTTCATACACAGAAATCGAACCAATGACCCTTGGTCTCGTGTGCTAACGCTTAGCCTTTAAAACTACTGAGTCAAAAACTAATTGTGTTAATGTTTAACTCTCATCAACCCAAGACACTGCGCAACTATCTCCAATTGTCTTTGGTGACACAAACCCAACATGGTTGAACTCCACCTGTCACCGCTGCATACGAGAACTTCAAGAATTCTCTCACAAAACTTGTCACTAGTGAGCACATGATAATTAGCAATGTGGGGGGTTATGAACATTATCGAATTTCACTGAAATGACGAATCGATCTAAGTTTTCTCAACAAGCCCCATACTGACCATTTGTTGAGACTCATTTAAAAGTTGCCTTAAGCTTTTTGGACGTCAATACTACACAACAAAAGAGTTCTAACTAAATAATTAAAAAAAATTTAGCTAAGAATACATTTCATGAGCAACCAAGCAACCAAGTTGCCATACCACATTAGCACACAGATCTAATTGTTAATTCAAATCCTATAGTTGTAGAGGTAGTAAACGTATTAGCAGTAATCGGAGACATTAGGGTTACAAGATTTTATTCGAGAAGTAAAATCTAGTGAAAAAGACTTAAAAAGATAAAGTGACGAAGAATTAAAAAGTTTCGGATTTGAAAGAACACAAAGAATGAATGCACCTGCGCAAACGGTTTTGAACCATTTCATTCAGGTCTCTAACCATCAATTATTATCATCTCACATAATCCAACCAGGTAGTCGACACCTACCAACATGACTCAGTCCACTTGTCAGTCACTTCATGGATTTCTGCCATGTTTTGGTTTGGCCACCACTAGCTTGCTTCCAACCCTACTCCTACACCACAAAACATAGCTCGACGAGGCAGTCAGTGGTTAGGCATTCGTAACACATGTCCCAACCACCTCAACTGATGAAGTTTCAACACTTCATCTATTGACCTGCGATCCTAACCTAGCACCCGTTTCCTATCAACAGCATTGCTTACTTGATTGTCTCATGATACACGAGCAATGCTTCGGAGACACCTTTGATCGAAAGTCAACAATCTACGAATATCTTCTACTCTCATTGGCCATGTTTCACAGCCATAAAGTAGGATGGAGTGAACTAATGCACAGTACACTCGTCCTTTAGTCGGCAAACGGATACCTCATCTATGCCATAAGTGACGTAGGTTGACAAAAGCCAATCGAGCTTAGTGTATCCATGCTGAGATTTCGTCAAACAACAAGCCAACCAAGGTTAATTCGATAAAAAAGTATGAATTTGAATCGCGTTCGTTGAAATGGAGAAGATCACTCTCTCCCTCTTTCTCTCGATGTGTCAGTTTGAATCATGCCTAAAGATAACATGCATACAAAAATGATTAAGGTAAGCACGATTATATTGTGTGTGTGACATATGGTTGGAAGATATTGGATAGTGTGAGGTCAGGTCAAAATGATGAAATAAATGCATTCTAGCTTTTAATTGGCTCTTTAAATCTTGAATCTGCATTCTACTAGTATCCTTGACTCTATTAGATTGGTATTAATATTGATTGATTGTCATTTATGTGATAACTTGCAGTTGGTGATGCGTACATAGGTACTCGATTTTGTTTAACTTATGATCGATGGATCACAGGTATTGGGATAACGTGAAACAGCAAAACACATATATGGTTGACGATGGACAGTTTGCTCTCCTTATTTTATTTGCCTTCACATGGAGATGCCTGTATAGAGTAGTCACTAATAAGAAAGTCCTACTCATCACTGCATTCTCCAATTACTGGTGAGTATGATGAATCCCTCCTCCTGGGCAAGTTGGATAAACCCTGATTCATAACCAATAGTCCATATACACTCCACAATCCCAACGGGACAGCGTCTACTATGCGACTACATCAGCTAACATAGTTTCACTGTCCTGTAGACTAGATCTGTTAGCCTAAGGTTAAATCAACATATGGCCCTATTCAAAACTAAAACAAAAAAACACTATCCGATTCAATTTGATCAACTGGACAGTAAATAGTATCATTCCCTACCACCCAACCATAGCTGCTACCTTATCGTGGTGGTCGGGCTTGTCTATCGTGATAACTCAACCGAAATACATTGACTGCAACATATGTTCCTGTAGGTTCTAACATTTTCTGGTTAGCGTTTTTTGGCAAGTTAGTTTTTGACGGAATGGGGTTGCCGACCCCATGTGAAACCCTCCTCCTTTACCCGGGCTTGGGACCGGCAGTAGCCCCGAAGGTTCTACTGACGGAGAAATAGAGAAAGATATCAGAGGAATGAACAAACATTGGACAGAACTGGAGAGAGAAGCCCAGGACAGAGTTGGTTGGAGAAAACTGGTGGGCGGCCTATGCTCCATTGGGGGTAACAGGCGTAAGTAAGTAAGTAAGTAAGGTTCTAACATGCCAGACAGGTTGACTGGAGGACGGCGAAACTAAACACAGCTACTCAAGCTCTGAGAGCGAAGCCGTACTGCTGACTGCAGAGGGGTGTGACAGCACAGTAAGGTGTTTCTCTCAGACAACCAGCATCTGCAGTGATGCTGCCTTCTCACAAGGAAAGAAGGGATTAGAAACGGTCGACCCTAAAAAAATATCACACCTCACCTTACCTCAGGGATTTCCGTCTCCGGAGGTAGAGCTGCCCACTAAACTAAGGGCTTTTAAGAGCTAATACTCAAATAACCTTTCATAAAAAGGTCGTGTGTGACCGGCCTCAAAGCAATTGTCCCTTGTGCTCTGCGGTCGCGCTCCCAAGACTCCAAGACCAACACTAATCTACCTCTTTTTTTTCAAGTTCTTCAAGAAACTCCCTTACACGATGTGGGCAGCCGGGAAGTTAGATCCGTCCTCATACCAGTCAGACAGACAGATACAACGCAGATACAACGATTCTGAACCATTTCATTCAGGGTCTTTAACCATCGATTATTATCATCTCACATAATCCAACCAGGTAGTCGACACCTACCAACATGACTCGGTCCACTTGTCAATGACTTTATAGATCTCTGTCATGTTTTGGTTTGGCCACCCCTAGCTTTCTTCAAACCTACTCCAACACCACAAAACATAGCTCGACGAGGCAGTCAGTGGTTAGGCATTCGTAACACATGTCCCAACCACCTCAACTGATGAAGTTCCGATACTTCATCTATTGACCTGCGATCCTTACCTAGCACCCGTTTCCTATCAACAGCATTGCTTACTCGATTGTCCCATGATACACGAGCAATGCTTCGGACACATCGATGATCAAAGACTAGTAACCTACGGAAGTCCTCTACTCTTAACGGCCAAGTCTCGCATCCTCAAACCCGTCACAGCACGCGAGAAAAACAAATCCCGCCTGCCTTCCCTAACCTCTATTCCGAAATTCAATGACTTGTGTAGTAGAGTAAAACCAACAATTAACGGCAACGAATAACCCCCTACGCATTTGTAACAAAAAAATCAACCAATCAAATACAAATACATTGCATTGCATTGTATTGCATAACATTCTTACCGTCAGCTGATCATTTAAACATTCACCAACATCAATTAAATCTTTCAATAAACTAGACATCATTTCAGTATATTTCTTTTTTTGATTTTGATGCGTATCTTTCAATTGGGTTAATTCACCATCTTTACTATGCATTAAACGAGTTTGTTTCAATAGAGATTCTTGTGCTTCTTCTAATTCTTTAGCTTTTAAATCAATTTCTTGTGCTTTTTGATCATAATTCATAGCTAATTCTTCAAGAGCTTGTAATACTTCTTTGACTTCTTCTTTACTTGATTGATATTCAGCCTTAAATGAAAAATAATAATAATAATAATAATAACACACAATTAAAAATAAAAGCTTATAATATGATAGTTCTTGTTACGCCTGCACATAAACACGTCAACTTGATATATACTTGAACTGTTATTACGAGTTTACCTAGTCGGAAACGAGGATCGAGAATCCGGTGACACGACATGTTACTCAAATCCGATTATTACAACCCCTATATTTAGTAAAAAACAAGAAGACATGATATGAAGTAGAACATGTTGTATTCTACAAGCATCCAGAAGCCACGAGGTCCGATTCCAGAAGAGAATCAGGATCCCGGACAAGGGATCCGGGACCGGGTCTTGGTCCTGGTCGTGGTCAATAAACGATACAGATAATGCGTATTTATACATTTTGGTCGAATAGGAAACAGCATCGAATTCTGTGGCATTGACAGTTAAGACGACCAATAGGAAGTAACATTTGAAGTGATATTGATAGTCAGGACAACCAATAAGAAACAACATTGAAGTATTTGACCTTGACAGTTATAACGACCATAATTTTGACCAATAGAAATCGACCAATACGATTTGACCAATAATTCTCTTAGGATATTGGATGAATATCCTAACAGTTCTGCCATGCAATCAATCAGACATTATTTCAAACTTTGTGAAGTGATGATGAAATGAACATTGCATTTTTTTTAAATGATATTTTTGAAGCAGTAATATGCGATAGAGTTTTCATTCATTAAGTTGAATGAGGATTTGTGTTCAAGTGATGTTTGTTATTCAGAGGAATGATGAATTATTTAGCTAAGCGATAAATCTTCTGGATGTTCATTGTTAAAGAAGATAAAATCCAAGTTATATTGGAATTTCCGGTGAATTCATGAACTAATCAATGTTGTTAGACCAATATGGGAAACCTGAAAGCACTGGATGCTCATTTCATCCTAGTATAGGACTACTCCTCAGCAGTAGTGATCCGTAAACCCGCAAGCGGGATCAAACCCAGGTGGACCTTCGGTCCCATACGCGAACGTTTAACTCCTAGATCACTGAGCCAGTATACAACGGTAATAATGTGAAACGTCCATTAATCCACGATATTATGTGACTATTATGTATTGTCTTCGGTGGTAGGTAACTAACTACCTCAACACTTAGCACGGTTTAGCCACATTGGTAACGGTTTTTTACTAGAACTTCCTCAGGAACCTGGTCACTGGGTAAGCGCACATGATAATTGTCAGTATGAGAGTTTGTGAAGGTAATTGAATTTCACTGAAATCATAACCACTATAAGTCAGTGCTTGCAGAATTTTACCAACCAGCAAACATCAGAAACAATTACTGTTTAATAAAAATACAATGAATACATCTAATCTTGGAGGGATTAAATGTTATACTATTTTGTCAAACAACTTAGTGATATAGCCTACTTCAATGAAGCTCTAAATTCACTCATTCATTTTAAATGACAAGAACGTTTTCCTAGTAAGTAATATGTAATAATGAAAATCAATATTCAATATAAGTGAATATTGATATTGAAAGATTTAAAAATACAAGTCAGTAAACAATGTCAATTTCAAATCCATATTGGTTGTTACATATGTCTCTTCGCCTTTTTTACATGAACCAAGAAGATTTTTACTTTGGTTTATACTACCGTTTTCTATTCATTAGTGTTTCGTGAATGTACCAACAATTTCATTGAAATTATGAATCGATCATTGTTAGATCATCATTAGAAAGAAACACAGAAACACTAAACCTCCGTTTTGTCCCACCACAGTACTCATTACCAATGCGCATCTTTGACCCCAAACTAGCAGGAATCGGACCCAAGATCTTCAAAGCCCAAAAGCGAACGCTTAACTTCTAGATCATTGTATTGATGCCTAACTTTAATCAGTTCAAGGTATTATGCAACTTCACCCATGGTCTTCGGTAGGTAACTAACTACCTACACCCGATATGACTGAACTCTACTAGTCATGCACTGCTGATGAATTCCATACCCTAAAAACACCAAAAAAGGCTATCCAGGGCCAACAATAATCGATTTTTAATTCTCTGTAATTTGACAATGAAATATCATGCCAATCATGAAAAAAAAATATGAAGTATTACACTCATAATAACCCACAACACAATAATAAGTATAAAAGTCAAATAAGTAAGTAGTAAGTATCACAAATTCTCTCTACCTGTAAACTTGTAATCTCTTTCAGCTGACCTTCACGTTCTTTACGCAGCGTATTAATAATATCATCTTGTTCTTCAATTTGTTGTCGTAGACGTGCAATTGTTTGTGCTTGTTTATTAATCTCATCATCTTTATCATCAAGTTGTTGATAAAGAAATTGTAATTGTTCATCACCAACACCACCACCGCTACCACCACCAACACCAGTGACACCGCCTACACCACCACTGACACCACCACTACTTATGGTAGCAGCTATGCTAGATGAATGAAATGGACCACCACCAACACCACCACCACCACCAGAAGCACGTACTGGAACAGTAAAAACAAACAGAAAAAAAAACAAGTTGGGCAATAACAAACACACATACACAGGCAGGCAGGCATCATATATTAATTTGCAAAGTGTGTGTTCAGTGAAGTTCTACTGTGGTGCGCGCTACTTATAAGTAGTAGTATATGACGCGGAGTGAAAACGTAATGTCTGGCAGCAGAACATGGGGGGGAGATCAAGAAAGGAAGAGTGGGAACACAATGGGATTTGTATAAAATAGCATGAACAGTGTGAAATGTCAAACAATGGATTGATGTTTCGGCAACAGGAACAGTTCAGTTCGATATGATGGATTGATATTTTGCAAATGAACAATTTACGATATGGTTTTCCTATTTTACCAATTAACTCTGTGATTTAAAAATACAATTCGGTCGCCCTCACCTGTGTTCTCCTTTACTACATACACTACTACTGTTGTAAGTAGTATGTGTGTAGGCAAACTGAAGATGGAAGGTTAGTTCTATTGAACACTAGTTAAAATCATTTGCAGTGCAGAACATTGGCATTCAAGAAACAACCTTCTACGGTGTGGGCAGCCGGGAAGTGACAACCTCCCTAACACCCGTAACAGCACACGAGACCAAATTGGTCGAAATCAAATTCTTCCTACACCCCTTAATACTTTTCTTATCTCAACATTAGCATAAATGTAATAACATTAACTCAAACTGTTAAAAACATCCTAAAATCAATAATAGTAAGGAACGGAATAAAATTCAAAAGAATGAATAACACCTAGAAACAAGTGAGAAGGAGAGTCCAGGAAAGAGTTGATTAAAAAATTCTGATCGGTTACCTAAGTTTCATGACGGAAAATAAGCGTAAATAAGTCAGTCAGTTGTTGTTAGTTGTATGAGGACGGATATCACTTCCCGGCTGTTCACACAGTGGAAGGGTGCTTCTTAAGGAACCTGAAAACGAAGTTCGATTAACGTTGGTCTTAGTGACCTGGGAGCATGATCGTGATGCCCAAAGGACAACCGCTTTGAGGCCGATCACGCACAGCTTTTTAACAGAAAGTTGACGAATTAGCTCCGCTCTTCAAATAGCCTTGTCGCCAGAGACAGAAATTTGTGAGGTTAGGTGAGGTGTGACATTTTTTAACCCATTTCTAACCGCGAGATGATAATAATCGATGGCTAGAGACCTTGAATGACATGGCGCCAGTGCATTTATTCTTTGTGTTCTCTCAAATCCTATTCTTCTGGGTTCTTCAACACCTCTAGTTTTGACTTCCTAAATTTTTCTCACTGAATCATACTTCTTGAATAGTATCTTCTAATCCTAACATCTCCGATTACTTCTAATACCTTTACTACCTCTTCTACTATTGGATTTGAATTGACAATTATATCTCTGTGTTCATGTGGTATGGCGACATGAACTGATGTACTTAGGTATGAAGTTCTACGTTGCAACTGACTGACTGACTGACCATTTCTAACCCCTTCTTTCCTTATAAGAAGGTAGCATCGCTGCAGATGCCGGTTGCCCAAGTGAAACACTTAACTTTTATCTCACTCCTCTACAATTAACAGTACACCTTCGCCCTCAGACCTTAAGTTGCTGCTTTTAGCCGTAGCGTTCTCCAATCAACCTGCATGGGATGTGAATCAATCAATAACAACGTAATTATCTCATGGGACAACGTCAGTCTCTGATTGACGAAATAAGATTTCTAACACAAAGACTACTTTTTAAAAAAAAAAGACTAAACATAAAAGAACTATATAGTTTGAAATGAAACTTTGAAGTACACAACTTTTTCTTAAAACACAATAATAAGACTGTGAACATTAATAAAAACTTAATCAAATAGAAAAAATGAAAAAAAAGCTTTAAGTAGTCAAAACAATGTCTTCAGAGTGACGTTTGAAACACCTAAATCAATGACAATAGATAGAGAGAACATCATCACATGGCATACATCACTAATACAATTTAGAAGATATGTGTAAAGATAAAATTTGCAGAAAAAATTACCTTGAGATAAATTTGGAAATTCAATACCTTGTGATGCAGTAGTCAAAATACTATCTGACATAAGTTTAGCTGGACATATATCTGGAGTGGTGACATCTCTTGCATCATCCATAGCGGCAGCATATTGATTTTCTGTAAACCATTCAGTTTGACTAACAGATTCACCTGAAAAATTTAAGGTATACAGCGTAAATTATATATATATATATATATATATATATATATATATATATATATATATATGCGGATTATTATTTACAACAACTTAATAGACACCCCCATTTTACATAAACATAGGAACAATAGAATTTGAATCTTGGAATTAACTTAACAAAATACAGATACACAGAATTTCTAAAGCTTAGTATTGATTAAGTCAATATGAAATTGTATAATTTAAACTAAATAGCTTAGTGTGACGCATAAAGTGGTAACTGGCTTGTGAACAAAGATGAAACGCCACTATTAGTTGAATCAACCGCCTTAAATCAATAAACTAACCACTGAATGACCTGTTATGATTGAAAATAAGAAGGGTCTGCTCTTCCTCACGAAATACTCTCGTAAGACTACAAGCATGTGCTTATATAGCCTTTTCATAGCGGTAGTGTTTATGAAATAGAGAGGAAGAAAAGTGACTGTCTGGCCAGGACTCAAACCATGTTAGTTAGTGATTACAGAGGATCTATCTAGGGGAGTCGAGAAACCCTGAATCAAAACCAATAATAATGATGCATATGATCTCAAAGATTCTGATAGAATAAATGATGAATGTATCGATTATTAGTCAACGGCTACCATGGAACTGCATCCTCTAATGTCTGATATGATATTCGAAAGTTACCAGTACTTCATCACAGGTAAGGTTGCCAAATCAATTGAAGTAGTGAACCGTCATTAGTTAAGGTGTCTGGGACATGTGATACGTATGCCCAGCGCCACCGACTGCGTCAACGAGCGATGTCTTATGTAGGATCGGCTGAAAGGTCGACCCGACATGACTCAGTTCACTTGTCAGTGACTTCATGGATTTCTGCCATGTTTTGGTTTGGCCACCCCTAGCTTTCGTCCAACCTATTCCTACATCGCAAAACATAGCTCGACGAGGCAGTCGGTGGTTAGGCATACGCAACACATGTCTCAACCACCTCAACTGATAAGGTTTCATTACTTCATCTATTGATCTTCCATTCTTACCCAGCACCCGATTCCTAATAACAGCGTTGCTCACTCGTGTGTCCCACGGTATACGAGCAATGCTTCGAAGACACCTATGATCAAAAACCAGTAACCTACGAATATCTTCTACTCTGACTGTCCATGTTTCACAGCCATAAAGTAGGACAGGGTGAACTGACGCGCAGTGCACTCGTCCTTTAGTCAGCAAACGGATATCTCGTCTACGCCATAAGTGACGCAGGTTGGCAAAAGCCAATCGAGCATTCTGTATCCGTGCTGAGATTTCGTCAGTCACCAGGCCATCAGCACTGATAAGACTCCCGAGATAAGTGAAGCGGTCAACATGCTCCCTATCACTATTTTAGGTGCCGATACAAGCCAGTCTTGAAGCAACATTTTGCATTTCGAGGGGGAAAACCGCATCCCGAACATGCTTGCATTGTTGCTTAGGGTAGTCAGAAGACTCTGCATTTTGTCAGCGTCTTCACCGAATAGAACAATGTCATCGTTATATTCTAGGTCAAAAAGCGATCCTCCTGGTAGAAGGTCCACTCCTGAAAAATCTGACGAGGATAACGTTAACTCTAAAAGCTTGTCTACGACAAAGTTATACAAGAATGGAGAGAGTGGACATCCCTGACGGACACCAATTGAAGTAAAGAATTCCGGTGACAGTTCGCCATAAGCTCTCACTCGACCAGTGGTGTTCGAGTAGAAAGCTTGTATAAGGTTAATGTACTTCTTTGGTACACCTTTTAATGATAGACACCGTAACAGAACCTCACGATGCACTGAGTCAAATGCCGCTTTTAGGTCCAGGAAGGCAACTATTATAGGACGCATAATTATAGCAGAGCTATGAATATATTTCAGGAACAACTAGAAAGACAGGCGACCATTTAAGCGATTTCCATCCGGAGGCAGGGTAAAATGATATCAAAAAGGCTGTGGAAACAGCAGTAATATCTGCTAGTAAGGTTGACCATAAGTCTACGAAGAAGCTGTGGATCTCAGTAGCATCCACCGAACTGATGGATGCTCCAAAACTCATCACTCCTTGCTCTGAACATGATGAAGAACGAAGTCAGCTTAGGTGCAGTCTGATAAAAAGCCTACGCAACGACCGTGAACAGTGGTGGGTGGCGAAAGCAGAAGCGACGAAAAAGGCAGCGGCGATAGGCAACAGTAGACAACTTCTCCGCCTTATAGAAGAAACCGGTTTTAGAAAACCATCTGTTAGTGAAACTATCTCAGAAAGGGATGGCTGTATCATTTATTCTCAATCCAGGAGATTGGATCGATGGGCAGAACACTTTAGGGAACAGTTCAACTGGACTTCAGCAACACTTCGGTTGCCCAAGATCCCCAGTCATCCTGAATGGAAAGTCAATTTAAGTCCTCCTAGTCTTTACGTAGTTGAGAAAGCTATTGGAAATCTAAAGTGAGGTCGAGCAGCAGGTCCTAATAGGCTTACTGCTGAAATTTTTGAGGATGGTGGTCCAGTTTTAACAGTTAGATTGACCGAGATCTTAGGTAGAATCTGGGAACTGGACGTAATCCCATCGAACTAGTCTCAGTCGCTAATTGTCCCAATTTACAAGAAAGTACAAAAGTCCTTATGTGACAATCACAGAGGAATCCGTCTAACTAACATAGTTTCTAAATTGTTAGCCTCGATTACACTTAGACGCCGAACTAGAGCTCGTGAAGAGCAGACTAGAGAAAACCAGGCTGGACACACAAACACACATTTAGGCGTCCGACAATAGTCGTGTTCCTGGACGCGGCATTTGACTCTGTGGATCGTGAGATACTGTTACCGTGGGACACACGAGTGAGCGACGCTGTTATTAGGAATTGGGTGCTAGGTAAGAATGGAAGATCAATAGATGAAGTAATGAAACCTTATCAGTTGAGGTGGTTGAGACATGTGTTGCGTATGCCTAACCACCGACTGCCTCGTCGAGCTTTGTTTTGCAGTGTAGGAGTAGGTTGGAAGAAAGTTAGGGGCGTCCAACTCAAAACATGGCAGATATCCATGAAGTCATTGACGAGTGTACTTATCCATGTTGGTAATTGTCGACTACCTGGTTGGGGTCCGCGAGATGATCGAAATCGATGGTTAGAGACCTTGAATGACATGGCTCAAAATCGTACGCAATGGCGCCGGTGCATTTATTCTTTGTGTTCTCTCAAATCCTAATCTTCTGAATTCTTCAACACCTCTAGTTTTGACTTTCTAAACTTATCTCATTGAATCATACTTCGTGAATAATATCTTCTAATCCTAACCTCTCCGATTACTTCTAATACCTTTACTACCTCATCTACTATTGGATTTGAATTGACAATTATATCTCTGTGCTGATGTGGTATGGCAACATGAACCGATGTACTTACGTACGAAGTTCTACGTTGCATCTGACTGAATGACTGATTATGTAGAACTCTAAGAGGTTTCCTTGCGGTGTCTTTCCTACGTCCGGTAAGCCTCAAACAAATACGCGCTCGCACTAGAGCATGCTTTGAATCTAGACATGTGCCCCGGAACGAGCGACAGTCCTCTATCGAATCCTTCAACATGCTCAACTGCTTCACTCCCTATCATTAGTTTAGGTGCCGATGTAACCCAATACTGAAGTAACATTTTGCATTTCGACGGGAAGAATACTAGTGGTGTAACTTTAACCTACTAAGCCCCCGGTTCCAACAACGCCTTATTAACTTCGGTTTGAGCAACTGAGTAGTACTTTAGTCCTCATATTTATTGTGGCTGACATATGAGTAGCTAGTGAGCATGTTCGACAACATACTGAACCTGTAACAGCTAAGCTGTGCTGGATGCGCGGTGATCCCACTCTATCGATCTTGAGATATAAGTAGTCTAATCACTAATTATTATTGCAAACTGTAGTTACTTTAAAACTGAATATTAAGCAGTGATTAGAGACTAATATAATAACCACTTATTATTTAACTGTAAAACTTAACTACTTCAATACTCTTAATTCATTTACTTTGTACTCTTTCACATGCATAACTTACCAACTCGCCAACGTTTTAGTTCACTTTCTAGATGAGATACAATAATGCGAAGTTTTCTGACTTTCTCTTTCTCACGTTCATATCGTCGTCGCCATTCATCGGCAGTTAGTTCTTCATTGACAGTGACTAAATTCTTGATTGTCTTAGCACGCATGCCAAACATAAGCGTTGATTTTGTTTCAGCTTCGTTAAAAGCCGCTGGTGAACAACAGATCACCATGGTTGTTCGTGCATTACCCCCAAGAGATTCTTGAAGAATACGCGTCAACTTAGAGTCACGGTAAGGAACATGTGACTAAGAAAGGAGAATTCATTAAGCAGAAAACCGACTCAACAATAACGTACTATTTTCTAAATAGAAAAAAAGACACTACAAGCTTTGTCCTTTAAATTTTATTACAGAATACATAACTTTGTTACTGCTTAAGCAATATAAATGTATTGCATCCTTTACTCTATGAAAAGTCCACTTGAATATTCACATTCGTAAAATTCCAGCTATTTTAAATTTAATAAATATGCTAGCAATATCCGCTTAGATTTATGTCAGTTGCTCGTTGAACTCCGCTCGGAGCCCTTCTACGGTTATCGTTGGTTTCAAGCCCAGATAGTTGATACAGTTGAATATATGGTTAGAAACCTCATCCCATAAAAAACCTGGCAAAAACATGCCAAACCAACTTCTCGTTTGTGCTACTCAAAAGGATTGAAACATATAGTTCAAAACTGAAATTCTAATCCAACCACTCTCCGAAAGACCACTAAATCAATATAGTCAATTTCAGTACACGAGGATTATAACATGTTTTTTTAAAAACTTTTTAGAAGCTATCAGTGAGACTGACAAAACCACAGAAAGAATTCGAGTAGGTAGTCGATTACAAAAACAACGGACAATAACAGACAATTGTCGAATCACAAAAAGATAGCAAAGGAATAACTGTATACCTTGATCTTACTGTTGGAGGTTATGTTTAACTCTCCAGATTAAGATTATATAAAAATTTTAACACATACAAAAAACAATGATGATGAAGTAAAAAACTTACACTTCCTTCTACAAGTGCATTGATTACATTACCAAGAGCAGATAACGATTTGTTGATATTTTTAGCTTCATCCAAAACAGTACCTTCAGCTCCTGTTTTAGCAACTTTCTCACTACCAGCCAAATCGACAAGATAAAGTTTTCCATGAAGTTTTTTCTGTGTTTCTAAATTTTCTTGACGAACAGTAATCATGAATACTGAATGACTTCGAGAACTATGTTCATTCATATCTGTACAATGAAAAATTAGTAGGATAATAGTGGCAAAGAAATACAAATTAGCTTGTACTGAAAGACAATTAGACTAAAAATAGTAGCAACAGATTTAAATTGACTCTGCATTTGAAAAAATCTCATATACCACATACTAACTTCAAGTAAATATATAATTATGAAGACCGTATTTGGTATATTCACGAATCAGAAACAATTCGCCTGAGAATATTTTACTCTGAACAGTCACAGGCTATCACTAACCCTTACATACTAAAGCTGTGGCACGAGGAATGAGAACATATATCTTCAAATGAATATCAAATCAGTTTGTAATTACTTAATTATAACAGTCGGTTTTATTAACTAACATAACCAGTTACAGGCCGTAATACAATGAAAAGCCAATCACACTAGCCAGAAACTCAGGCAAAACATTACACATAAAAGTAATTTTCTATCAATTACATCACTTTTGATAGAACAGTGAGAAGACGTAATTGATCTGAAAAATGTGATGTATTTGCGCTATACATTTCGAACAATCTGACCTTTTATTCATCTTCATATAAAATGCCTTGACAAGTAAATATGTGTGACCAGATTGTTCGAAATGTATAGCGCAAATACATCACATTTTTCAGATCAATTACGTCTTCTCACTGTTCTATCAAAATTTATAAAAGGGATCAAATGTTTTAAATTACATCACTACCAATAATCTCAAGTTTTTAACTGGCTATAACAGAAAGAATGGTAAAATACCAATTACTCTTTGGCGGTATCTGTATGATGAGAAACCATTGAGAGGTTTAAAACCACATATTAATACATCTTTTCAAGATATATTTTCAATCATAAAAAGCAGATTAGAAAAGAATAAATAAGCTTATAATTAAGACAAAAACTCAAGACATCCGCATTTCTATATCTTGTAGCATCCTAAGACAAAATAGAAGACACAGTAAATCCATACCATGATTGTAGTTAAGTTAATTAACAAGCCGCAGTTCTACATGCAAAATATTTGGTGGATAGTAGGAACTTCACATGTAAGACTTACTAGTAACGGCAACATGACGATTGGCTTTTCCCTCGTCAATTACATCAAACACCTCTTCAGGACTAGATACAAACCGTTCTGTAGCGCCCTTAAGTTTTTGAATCAGAAAAAAAACCACAAATCTTACTTTAACGTATGGTACTCGATCCTTATCTTCGTGAACAGGTAGATTTGTCTTTGAAACTAAGCCAAAATATACATTGAATGAAAAGCTTACCATCAAGCAAATCGCGAATTTTATCCATATATATTTCAAAATATGAAACCTGAAATTTCAACGGAACGTATTCTAAGAGTTACTTTGATGTGAAACTCGAGGTTTTCATCCATTTGATAAATATGATTGAATATGTCATGTATTATCCGAGGAATAACACCCTGAAAGACCGGATCACCTAAAATTCCCTGAAACGAAACGTAATTAAAAAAATAGTAGCACCTCCATAGTAAATGTTTTCCCACTCGACGTCTGACCGTACGCAAAAATTGTGCCATTATAGCCATTCAGAACATCTGCGACAATTGGTTTTGCAACAATTTCGTAGACTTCTAACTGAGTTGCCTTAGGTTGCACTACATGGTCGAAGTTAAAGTTTTTCCCCTGAAGTTAAGAACTATGTTAACTTGAGGAAACCTACTCCAATAGATATTGCAGTTTTGCCATCACCAGGAAAAGATACAACAAATTTGCTTTCGTTCGCCTTTTCTAAATCATTGAGTGGTCTTACACGGCAAATGACCTTTATGCTCTCAGACATAGTAGACCCTCCCCGAAATTCTAGATCAACCAGACAATTTCAGGAGAAAAGCGCGCCAAAAACTAGTTGGCATAAATCACCTTCGCCATCAATCCTCCGAAAAATTGTATCATTGAATAGCTTCAAAATCCAAACTTACTTGACCAAAAATGGTTCGAGTGGTTGTCGATGGAATAAAAGAAGCTTTAGACTAACAGGCTTCTGTATCTAGTAGCAATCGATCAACTATGATTCCAAGTTGAAGCTTGAGTGTATTAAACGGGTAAAAAGAAATATTAATAAATTGTACTAAAAGGCTGTATCAAATCTTTAAGAATATGTCAAGCTACTTCTTGCAGGACTCCAGGTAATTCGCTTTTTCGACCTCAGCTGGTCACGAATTCTAGAACTTCACTACTCGTAAAAGCTAGGTGTGGCTGCAGTCCATTTGCTATGTTAGGCCCCCAGTTTCTGGGTTTTCCCTCTAATGTTCGCATTAAAAAGGAGCATATGTAAGCCTTTCAGCGGACGCTAACCAGTGTTTTTAAAGGATACCACGCATTAGAAGGTCTCCTCTTGTAAGTCTTTACTCTGAAGGATAAAGATCTACTGATTTGGGGCACTCATCATGATTTAAACGCGAGTCCTCAATCAGACTGTATGGCTCAAATTTATGAGACCGAATTGAGGAAGAAAATACAACGTTTTTATATTCCGGATGGGGCTGAATAGAGGTTTCGAAGATTGGATGGAATGTGCTAATATCATACCAACAGAACTGTGTTTTAACGTTATTAGCACAGGGTTTGCTCGAAAGATACTTTTGTTACAATTAGCTTGGGTCAATAAATCATACGGTAGAAAAACTTCCAGATCTCTTGGCGACGTCGAAAGGAAAGCAACAGAAGTTACATAAAGTCCAAATGTCTAATATGAATCATTTTGAAATCTGACTAGTTGAAACTATGTCTTTAGTCATATACGAACGTCAAAGAAAATTCAGATGATCCAGAAATGTTGGTACGACATAGGAGCTATAAACTTCTCTCATCAGCGAAAAGTAATCATGATAAAAACAAACAAAATGAGGATGCTGTCCTAGCAATGAACCCTTGAGTATTCCACTAAAAATCCTGCAAACTGAGAAAGATGAAAATTTGCATGACCGTGGAAAGTTACTTATTTAGATAGGAAGTTAGCCATCTGTTAAAGACAGTCCCATATCTAGCAGTTTGAGCTTACTGATGAGATATATATGATGGACCCCCTCAAATACTTTTGTACCATCTGTGCTTCGGCACGATGACCATCTTGCTTTTGTTTCTCTGTACGCTTTGCGCATTTTCGCTGCCACGATTTGAGTATTCTTTCAATACCAAGAAATTGTCAGCACATATACCTTTTTATCAGAACTATCCTTTCTTCCCAGTTATTCAAGACCCGAACGTAATAGGTTGGCAGACTTGTTCACGGTCATTATCGACTGGAACGCCTATACTGGGGATTCTGTGTTTTTCACGACGACAACCAGTTTTGGTGAGTCTGTTGTTTATTTGCGCCCACTTTTGCTATTTGTACAGTGATACTTTTATTACATATTATACTAGCAGAGGCGTCTTGAAATGGTGGATGGTCTTAAAAATTCTGATAATACCGTGACCAGTCTCCTTCCCCTCACTACAAGCTGATCGTTTTCACCAAGCGTGAGTTTGAAAGTTCACATGCTTTATGTATTATGTCGTCTTACTCACAGTCCTTGGTGCTCTCCTCTCCACTCAGTTCGCAAAAGCGATGGTGTTAGCTGGACACCATGCAGCTATTACAGAGCATTAATGGCAGATAACAAATTGTTACAAATGTATAATCTATTTTGAAGTCATTATTTTTGGAAAATCACTCCATGTTTTATAATCTGACGGACTCTTTCTGTTCGATGTTTTGGTACTTTATTTGATCCCATTTTGGGATTTTATCATTTGTATCTTGTTATTATTTCTATATCTTGTACTTATATTGAAGTTTCTATGTTTCCTTCTGAACTGTATATGTGTTGTTTAGAATTGATACTTAATATGGCGACAGCCATATTTGGATTTGATACTCTAGCAGCTCGTTGCAACTAACTGGAAGCACTTATTCTTCCAGCATTGGAACTAATTGTTGTGATTAGAAACTCTAAGGTGTAATATTGTTTTGGTAATTGTCTGTATTTCCATTTTGATTAAAAATAGAACCATTCTTTCCCACAATTATCATTTTTGGACTTGGACTGGGAGAGACGCGAGTGAACCTACACCTTTTGGATTCAGAGCTCACTGAGAGAATATTGAATATTTCTACAGTTCAGAACAATATTTGGAGGAGGATCCTTTGCATATCTTATTGTCGACAATAATTGAAGAAACGGAACCGGTGAAGTCTTATATCTGATCATTATTGTATCAACAATTTGGAGTTTCTTTTCCGCCGAATTTCAAGTGCTATAATGAGTTCCCGTAAGAATTCAAACACGAATAGGGATGTAGCCTATGAAGAATCACGGAATGAAAGGCAAGTTCCCTATGACTCTTCATGTTTAAAGGGTTCACTCTCTGATAAGAATGATATTATGTTTAGTACTTATTATCGTAAGCCATCGTTAAAGGGTACCAACGGACGTAGTTCGAAAGAGAATTTTGAAATACCTGTGAAAGATATAATGTCTAAAAACCGGTAGTAGGCTTAGAATTGACGAAGGTTGAATTAAGTTTTTTTGATGGTCAACACCGTGATCAATTTAAGTTCATGCGACAATTTCAAACGTTTATAGCACCTAAAGTTGATGACGATAATCTGCGTCTATTATATCTAGTCCATTACTGCAAGGGTAAGGCGAAGGCTGCCATTGAAGGGTGACTCATGATGGAAGCTTCATCAAGCAATAAAAGGGCTAAAGACATTCGAAAGCAGCTTTTTGGTCAAGCGCACTTGATAGCCCGGGAAATGTTAGAAGATTTGTTTAAGCCAGTAAACGTTGATTATAACGATGGTGGTAGAAGCCTCCTAACTGCTCGAAATGCAAGGAATGGTAATTTGGATTCGGGCAAAAAGAGGTTAATGGATGCAGTGAATATAAATAAGGACGAAACAGGTTTGACTGTATGGAACGAAGCTTATGTTCGGAACCCTCCACGTAGGGTAAATTATCTGACACGACCTAGAGCTGATCCTAGGATAGCAAGTGTAAACAGTGACACAGCACTTCATGTTGCTGCGCGATCAGGATGTCTGTGGGCTACTGTATCTAGTTCTACAGAGTATCATAATAGTGAAGCGAAAGATAATAGCAGCTTAGCGCGTCCTGCTGGTGTTTGTTTGCAGTCTACTGATGGACGGTCGCATACTAGTCCAAGTAGTCATAGCAATATTGATAGTGTTAGTGTAAGTGGCAGCAGTAGTAGCTTACCATTAAAGCCTGCACGCGAACTATCTCGCAACTCGTCATGAACTGTGAACAGTCGGAACATCCTTGTGAACAACAACAACAGCAAGGTTCAGCTGAAACCTCAAGTGTCGATTCATAGTGTGGTAGATGTGAATAATAAGGGTGATGGTGTAGTGCCACCACATTTATTTGCATCCGTTTACATTTAATTTGCTTAGGCCCTTTTGATTTATCTATTTAACCAAGCCATTTGTATAGCAACAACTCATATGTACCATCGGTATTTTTTATTATCTGGTTTGTATGAGCTTGTACGACTGAGCATTGCTTACGCCTACGCGCTTACTCATCCTTATCGCTTTAATCTTAATCTCTTAATATCCCCATGAACTCACATGATTTGTATCGCTTGCTTTTGACCTTGCCAGTCATTCGTCGCTTTTATTCATGTCTGTGCATGCCTGTTTCGCTTGTCATGTCTGTCTTATTTTTGGCCTCACTATATATTCTTAGTCATGTTCTATCTCTTTGAGTTGGCTCTTAGCCTTCTCCTATTCGCTTCGCCCATTCGCTCGCATTGTAATCCAAAGAGTTAGCTCTAGGCCTTCTCCAATTCGGTTCTCCGTTTCGCATTGTGGTGTGCCTCTAATAAACGTATTCATCAATACGAGTTCATCTTCTGATTTATAAACCGAGCTTAAGAACACGCAGTTATCGGCACACTACAATGAGAACGAAAGTGGAATCACTACAGGTAGTGCAGTTTCTTCGGTTGCTGTTACTAATGTAGCTTCTTCGAATACTTCAGTTCAAGAAGAAATTGGACGTTTGAGCGTGGAGAATGTAGGCGTCGGTGGTAATAGCGTTAGCCACAGTGATGGCACTACTGAGAACAAACCAGATTTCTGTGGAGGAGGAAAACAGGAAGAAGCTCTGAAAGTGGACAAGACACACACATTGCGGAAAGCACCGAATTGCGTCACAAGACAAGCCTTAATAATAATAATACTATATTTATTCTCAAATAACTACGTTACAAGAGTCACGCGAGTTTACAGGCTAGATCGAATTGTCACAAACGCTTTCACATTTATTGTAAAAATTATAGCAGTTAAATTTTGTATAAGAGTCAGTTTCTGATGGCATATTTACACCATGTCACTGACAGA